GTGTCGAGAAGTAATTAAGGATTTCTATAATTCTCTCCTTCATTTGCAAGGCTGAACGATTCCTAAGAGGAAAAAGTTTCCCAAATTTTGAAAATTTATCCAAGACACTAATAAAATACTCATTTTGGAGTACAAAAATATCCATGTGCAATATTTCACAGGGATAAGAAGGAATCGGAGTTGCCTGAAGCTTAGGTATCGGCGGATTCCGATCATATTTGTTAGCCTTGCATATTTCACAATTCCTCGTATACCTTCCTACAAGACTGTTCATCCTAGGGAAATAGTATTTTTCCAAGAGCTGTAGTTTATTCTCGTCCTTATTCCTATGTGCCCTTCTGTGCTCCTCTTCTATCAAGGAACAGACCCTATTTGGACAAGTTACATCTTCTACAAGTCTCTGAGTGATCCGTAGCTTATAATGTGAAAAGTGTTCCAAATAAACCTCCTGTAATAGCCACAAATACTGTTCAGGAATTTTAATCCCATTTAAGACATCAGGTCTAAGTTTTTCCCTCAGGATTCGTGTAAGATTTTCCCTGCTAATTTCCTCCAAAGATATGATGTGTCGGTTGTAGCCAGGATGAGGATTAATATGTGTAATCATATCTGATTGGAATTGTCGTATTATAATCTGATTACGAAAAACGTTAATAGGAGCTTCGACATGTGGAATCAAATCTGTGCCATCCTGTTCGGCACTGTGTACGGTTCCCTCGCTAGCTGTTATAGTAGCTGAGTCTCCGTTCCCTATCGTACCCTCACTAGCTGTTATGGTATCTGAGTCCTCACTTCCTACCCTACCTTCACTTGCAGTGTCAGTGGAGGACTCATCCGCAAGATGGACACATAAATCTGTAGATGCAGTTCTCGAAGTCTGCTCAGCTTTCACTGAGTCGGTTGAGTCTGCTTTTAAGCGAGATAAGGCGTCGGCTACTACATTGGATTTCCCTGGTTTATATACAAGTTCGAAGTTATATTCCTCTATCCTAGCCTTCCACCTTTTCAATTTCGCATTATAATTCCTGTTGCTCATGGCAAACGTCAGAGGTTGGTGATCGGTAAAAATGCGTATTTTCTTAGCTCCATACAGGTAGGAGCGAAGATTGTCCAATGCCCAAACTATGGCGAGCATCTCTTTCTCGTTCGTGGCATATGCCTCTTCTGTCTTGTTCAAAGAGCGAGAAATAAAGGTTATTGGTTTGTCCTTTCCCATTTCCCCTTGAGACAGTACTGCACCTAAAGCACTGTTAGAAGCGTCTGTCGTAAGATTAAATGGTTTGTCAAAGTCCGGGAAGGCTAATACTTCCGACGACGTGAGCAACTCCTTAAGCTCGTTAAATGCTTGTAGCTCTTCCTCCCCGAGAATAATTCTAACTTTCTTCGATTGATTAGCCTTGACTTGTGCCATCTCGCCACGAGTGAGAGTGGTTAAAGGTTTAGCTACTTTGGCAAAGTCTTTAATGAACCTCCTATAATAGGATGTTAATCCCACAAAACTTTTGAGCTCTTTCAGGGTCTGGGGTGGTACAATGTCAAGGATTGCCCTCACCTTCTTCCTATCAGGCAGTATACCATCCTTAGTAACCACGTAACCAAGGAATTCGACCTCGGTTTTCATAAAAGCAGTTTTCTCTAAATTAACCCTAAGGTGAGCGTCTCTTAGACGCTGAAATACTTTCCTAAGGTTCCCCAGATGTTCCTCAATATTACCCCCGTATACTATTATGTCGTCTATATAGACATAACATATTTTCCCTATACAACCTCGCAGGACGTCATCGACCATACGCTGAAATATAGCAGGCGCATTCCGTAGGCCGAACGGTAGCCTCAAAAACTCATACTTCCCATTCATTGTTGAAAAGGCTGTCTTTGGAATATCCCTTGGATTCATTGAAATCTGATGAAACCCCGAAGTGAGGTCAAGGGTTGTAAAATATTTCGCCTTGCCAAGGCTCGCCAAAGTTGAATTTATGTCGGGAATTGGATATGTGTCAGGTATGGTGACGGCATTCAGTCTTTTGAAATCCACCACCATCCGATATTGTTTCTCTCCATTTGGTTTAGGTTTCTTTGGGACCACCCAAATGGGAGAATTATAAGGACTTCTTGACGGCCGTATTACATTATTATTCAGAAGTTCTTCTATTTGTCTGTCTACTTCAGCACGCATACAAGCTGGATAAGGATAACTCTTTGAGTATATTGGCTCATCAGTGGTACACCGTATCTCTGCCCTAATAGATGTTGCTGCCAATTCGTTATTTATTGGTCCAAATATGTCACTAAACTCGGCTATTAGGTCACTCAATGTAGTGCATGATGGAAGTACGTTAATTTCGTTCAATGTCTGAATTCTAAGTGGTATACTGATCCCTGGCGAGATTGTCAGTGTATTATTTTTGTGGTCTATTATAGCTTGAAGCTCACGTAGAGTATCGTCGCCGATTATACCATTGAAAGATGTGAATCCCGGTAGTACATAGAATGTAATTGTCGTATCGTTACCAAATGGGGCAAAGAATTTCCCCTTTACCTTCTCACTAATTTGTATTCTCCCTGATGCAGTACGAACATAAAATGGTTTATCTAATTTCTTAGAACTGGGGCATAAGGCTGGCTCAACAAAGTTTTTTGTAGCCCCTGTGTCTATTAAAAATTTTATTATTGAGCCATCCTTTAATTCATTGCTTACGTATGGTAAGCCGGAAAGGCACGAGTCCGAAAATTTATTTCGTCGTCGGCCGGTTCGCCTTCATTGTCCTCTTGTGTCATGTTAAAAATTCTCTGTTGTTTAAACGGGTGTTGTGCCGACCCGGGACGAACCTGTTCCGAAAAGGCCCGCCTTTTGTGGTTATTCCATGGTCGGTTTCCGGTCCCCCTAGATTGCGTACTCGGATCTATGTCCATTGGTTCTGGTCTGTGGGGAGCAGGCTGTTGCGCAACACGCCGTGGCTCAAATTGTCGGTTAACAAAAGGGTTCGCTTGAGGTTGATACCGGTTTTTCGGTACAAATTTTTGGAAGGAAGCTTGGTTTCGAGTCTTACTTGGGTGGTGATTCGGAAAGTTATTAAATCCCATTGGAACCTGGACCCTATTCTGACCATTAACCGAATGTAGGGAGACCTGACTCCTGTAATTGGCATTTCTCAATTCCAAACATTGCGAATATGCCTCGGGAAGTGTCTTTGGCTTCATGAGCATTATCATCTTTGACAGCTCGCCATTAAGACCCCTTATGAAAACTTCCAGTGTCCTATTTCTATAAGTCTCTATTAAAACGTTCGTCGTTTCTTCAGAATAAGTTTCCGTCTTCAATTTGTTTATGATCAAGGAGAACTGGTGATTTACTGTAGCGTAGAACTCGTCTACGCTCATACTCTTCTGAGCTAGTTGGGTCAACTGATGTTCTAGTGTGCGAACATCTCTTTTGTCTGCATAATGCAGAGAAAGACAGTTCTTTATCGATGCCCAGTCTTCATCGAAAATGTTGTAGGAGGTAAGGGCGGCATCAGCCTTTCCTCTACATTTTCGGCGTATAGCCTGAACAATAGCCCTATATATCGGCTTCTGCCGGACGATCTCATAGTCCTTCAGGATACTCTCCACGCTATGTATCCAGGATACATACTGCGTGGGGTCACCCTCAAAAGACTGCAAGTCCCTTACACAGTCGGGAAGTTTTCCTATTTCGTTCAATTCGGTTTCTGTGGTTGGAGCACGCAGGGGGGGAGGAGGACTTTCGCCCTCAACAACCGGAGGATTACTGGGCCTACGTTCCAAATTCAGCGTTCTCTGATCCAGAGTTTTTAGCTGGTTTAGAACGGCGTTTAGGGCGCCAGTTAACTCTGTTACCTTACTTTGCAAATGTTCCATACTTACATACACATATACATATACATAGGAATTTGCAGGTTCTTCCCTCTATATTTTGCAGGTTCTTCCCTCTATATTTTTACAGTCACCCTTACAGGATATGCCTTTCAATAATTCTCCCTCTTCTCTTCAAATTAATTCACTGGTAGTCACAGGGTCGAAATTTCACTTAATTGTCACTGTTCTTTCTTTCTTTAGGTGGATCCTCTTTTCCACAAAAAAAAAATTTTAAATTTCACTGTTTCTTTTTTATTTTTTCCAGGTTTTAGTTTCTGGAGGGTCCCGTAGGAATCGCAAAAACTTATTTAATTTCACAATTTCGGGGTCGAAATTTCACTTAATTGTCACTGTTCCTTCTTTAGGTGGATCCTCTTTTCCACAAAACAAATTTTAAGGTTCACTATTTCTTTTTTATCTTTTCCAGTTTTTATTATTTAGTTTCTGGAGGGTCCCGTGGGAATCGCAGAAACTTATTTAATTTATTAATTTTATATATTTAATTTTTTATTTAATTTTATAAGGACTCCGCTTTCTCTTGGCGGGTCCCTGCTCGGGCGCCAGTTAACTTCCTTTGTTATGTGAAATTAAAAAAAATGATTTTTAAGTGGACACCGACTTGTCCACTATAAATGAAACACGTTAATTTTTGGTTTACAATTTTATTCAACGACCGCTTTGGTCAACCTCCCAAGTAAGACTAACTCTAACAATATTTTTTAAATACTTAAATCTAAATAATTCTGCTGATCCAACTTATTCCATTCCCACGTTGTGAAATCTTCCAGACGAAATATGATCCTGCATACTAGCTTGCGCGTGTGCACCGTCAGCACAACCTTGTGTAGATTTTTCCCGCTCATGTATACTTGATTGTGTTAACTTGTATAATAGAAAATGTAAACATAAATAAGAAAATGAAAATAAAAACAGAAAAAAAGTAGTAAATATGGTAATTAAAATCAAATACACAAGTATTCCAGAGCACATACCTTCTTATCAAGAACAACTATATAAAAATAATAACAAGAACTACTGTTATGTACAGACGAACAGACTTCGTTAATACTCGTACTCAACTAACCGTTTAATGTTGTGTGGCTGTGTTAACAGTATGGGAAACATAACGAAACGTAACGGAAGCGCGCAAAATTAAAAAAAAGAATTTCAATAATTATTGATTTGTTTTGTTATTTTCTTTTAAAAATTTAAGAAAAAAAATCAATTAATTAAAAAGAAATATTTTTAATTAGCTATAGATGAATACAAGATTTTTAAAAAAAATATTAATATATTTATGAAAAAAAAAGAAATAATCGAAATTTAAGCAACAAAAAAAAAATTGTCATTTCAAATGGTACGAGTGCCGGGTGGAAATACAATTTGTGTGTTTGTGTTTTAAGAAAAAATCTCTTTAAAATTCTTTATGTCTTCAGCATGCACAGTGGTTTAGAAACGTTTTATTTTGGAAATTATTCGGTTACTCGTGAACGTGATTGGATATAAATTAAAGAAATATCGGTAGTGGAAGCTGATGACTTTTCGAGAATAATTAGAGGTACCAAAACGAAATTTAACTTGATCGAAGCTGAATGTTCTTCAGTTAAAAATAGATTCATTAAAGGGATAGATAGTTATTAGATAGATAGATAGATAGATAGATAGATAGATAGATAGATAGATAGATAGATAGATAGATTAGATAGATAGATAGATAGATAGATAGATAGATAGATAGATAGATAGATAGATAGATAGATAGATAGATAGATAGATAGATAGATAGATAGATAGATAGATAGATAGATAGATAGATAGATAGATAGATAGATAGATAGATAGATAGATAGATAGATAGATAGATAGATAGATAGATAGATAGATAGATAGATAGATAGATAGATAGATAGATAGATAGATAGATAGATAGATAGATAGATAGATAGATAGATAGATAGATAGATAGATAGATAGATAGATAGATAGATAGATAGATAGATAGATAGATAGATAGATAGATAGATAGATAGATAGATAGATAGATAGATAGATAGATAGATAGATAGATAGATAGATAGATAGATAGATAGATAGATAGATAGATAGATAGATAGATAGATAGATAGATAGATAGATAGATAGATAGATAGATAGATAGATAGATAGATAGATAGATAGATAGATAGATAGATAGATAGATAGATAGATAGATAGATAGATAGATAGATAGATAGATAGATAGATAGATAGATAGATAGATAGATAGATAGATAGATAGATAGATAGATAGATAGATAGATAGATAGATAGATAGATAGATAGATAGATAGATAGATAGATAGATAGATAGATAGATAGATAGATAGATAGATAGATAGATAGATAGATAGATAGATAGATAGATAGATAGATAGATAGATAGATAGATAGATAGATAGATAGATAGATAGATAGATAGATAGATAGATAGATAGATAGATAGATAGATAGATAGATAGATAGATAGATAGATAGATAGATAGATAGAAGATAGATAGATAGATAGATAGATAGATAGATAGATAGATAGATAGATAGATAGATAGATAGATAGATAGATAGAAGATAGATAGATAGATAGAGAGATAGATAGATAGATAGATAGATAGATAGATAGATAGATAGATAGATAGAGTAGATAGATAGATAGATAGATAGATAGATAGATAGATAGATAGATAGATAGATAGATAGATAGATAGATAGATAGATAGATAGATAGATAGATAGATAGATAGATAGATAGATAGATAGATAGATAGATAGATAGATAGATAGATAGATAGATAGATAGATAGATAGATAGATAGATAGATAGATAGATAGATAGATAGATAGATAGATAGATAGATAGATAGTAGATAGATAGATAGATAGATAGATAGATGGATAGATAGATAGATGATAGATAGATAGATAGTAGATAGATAGATAGATAGATAGATAGATAGATAGATAGATAGATAGATAGATAGATAGATAGATAGATAGAGATAGATAGATAGAAGATGGACGGAATCTGAACAAATGCAAATCAACCAAGTTATTTCCAAAACAAAGCCTGCCTAAACCACTGTGTGTTCTGCCGCACAAGTAAAAATTTCGGAAAATTAAAAATCATGACAAATTTTTTTTAAATATCTACAAAAAAACTAAAAACATATCTTTGCTACAAATGAGAGAACATGTATAGGTGTATGTTTAAGTATTTAGCACAAATTATTTTTAATAATTCACAAGTGAATGAGCAAAAAACCAACAAAAAAAAAATCAACACAAACAAAATTATTTTCTTTTAACCAAAAAACACAATTTTTCTAAATTTCTTCAGAAACATTTTTGCTATGACATTGATTTTGTCATTGGTTTGTTTAATCCGCTAGAGATTGGTGTAAAAAACATAAAATATTAAAAGCAAAAAAAATTAATTATGTAAAAACTGGAAATCATTAATTTAAAAACTAAATTAAAAGAATATTAATAACAAAAAGTGTTTAAATTAATTAAAAAAACTTTTCAAACAAAATAGTGCATTTATTTATAATTGGATTAAAAAAAGGGAAAAAATTTTTTAACATTAACTATTAGCAATTTTGCTGTTGCCTACCACAACATTAAATAACTTTTAAATTACATTACTGTTTTTGTGTACATTAAATGTTAAGTGCTTTGGTTTTTAACAGACGGCTACTGTTGCTGTCATTTTAATCATTTGACCATTAGTGATTTCTTTTTTTAAATTAAATTATTTACTTTGCTGTTATTTCTATACAAAAACAACGTTATACAGTTGCTACCCCTTTCCGTGTTAATTTAGGATTATTAAAATCTATTTGCAAATAATGTCTAAGGTTTGTTGGAATTTAATTGTATTTCGTTTAATATTATTTACTATTTATATAAGAATTAATTACATTTAATATATTATTTAAATTAAATCTCTAGAATGAATGTTAATGAAAAGTAAATTGTTATAGAAACATTATTTTATTCCTTGAGTAAGGCCTTAAATCGATTTTGAAATAAAATTCGAATTCAAACCAATTATGAATCAGTTTTTATATTAAATTCGAAATTTCGAACATGAAAATAAATGAAAAATATTCACTAAAGACGTACAATATTCCAAAAAATGAGCTATTTACTTATTTAAACCATCTAAGAACCATTTTTAGCATTAAAACGATTTTTGAAATTAACTTCGAAATTTCGAACATGACTAATAATAAGGAATTTTAATGGAAGACAAATAATATTATAAGATAAAAAGTTATTTTATTATTTAGATTACCTAAAACCAGTTATAAAATATAAATCAGTTTTCGAAATTAAATTCGAAAATTCGAACAAACAATTTTGTCGAAAAATTTAATAAATCTAAATAAAATACATTTTTTAATTAATAAAATACTTGAAAAAATAATTTTTAGCTTCAAAACGAATTTCGAAATTAAGTTCGAATTTTCGAACATATTAAAAATTAATATATTTTCCTGGAAAATTAACGAAATTATAAGAAAATCTGTAAGAATTATTATTATTAGCCCCTTCAAAACAACAAATTGGTGTTAAATTTATTTTCGAACTTAAAGTGCTAAATCTATTTTCGAAATTATAAGCAAAATTTCGAACATAACTAGTATTTTCATAGAAAGTTAATTAATTTGAATGAAAAAATAAGATTTCATTAATAAAAGTTATGAAGAATACATTGTTAGCTAAAAATCGAATTTCGAATTTTTTCGAACATGATCAAAATTAATAAATTTTCATAGAAAACAATTGCAAAGTATATTATGTTATTGTTTACTCCATTTTAAAACCAGTTTCTAGCCTTGAATCGATTTTCGAAATTAAATTCGAAATTTCGAACATGATTTTATAGCAGTATTTTCACGGGAAATTAAGAAGTATCTCCGAAAAATTATAAAAAATTCGTTTTTAACTTTCTTGAATCAATTTCGAATTTTCGAACTTAATAACAAATTATGAAATTCATCTATTTTGCAAACTGAAAGATCTGGAACAATGTGTTTGTTTCTATTATAAAGTACGCAAAACACAAATGAACTATTTTCATTATGGATTATTAAATAATTAACAATAATTTTCTTTTAATAAGACACAGCTGTTCAAATAAAAGTTTTTATTAAACAAAAACAATACAGAAAGAAGCTTTTAAAAACATGTGTTATATATCCGAAAACAAAAATAAAATGGTGTATAGGTCACGAGTCAAGTACCAAATAACTTCTACAAATTTTTTAATAAAAAACTTTTATTTTAGCTAAACCTAAAAACATTGTTTACCTTACATTTTACAAAGGGCATTATTTTTACTTATTGATACTAAATAACTGTTTTTGTTAGACTACCCTTTATCTATATATACAAATTTCATCATTAATTAACCTGCTTAATTGTATCATCTGGAAGATGTTTTCAACTGAAATTACTAATAATTCTGAAAATAATATATGTGTTATAGTTTGCTTATGAGCAAATACTAAAACTGTAGATTGTAAAATATTGCTATTTGAAAAGTGAAAAAAAAATAAAAAAAATTTAAATGATTTTTATTTGCAATAATTTAAAATTTGTTTAAAAGACGAATGTAAATTAAGGAAAAAAATTGTTATAGTTGCATTGAAAAATAAACCTACTTATTTACTAAAATATGGATAAATGAGATCGTCTATAGACAAAACTAGTCGATAGTATAAATAGGCCTTGAATGTAGTCTTAGCCTTGTCTATAGTATTGGATTCTGTTCTTTCTATACAATTATAGTCTTAAATGTAATTTTGTCTAATTTTTACTCTAGCCTTGCTTATAGTATTGTCTACAGTTATTATTAGAGTCTGGTCTATAGTCTATTTTACTGTAGTCTATACTCTGGAACATTATCTGGACTACATTCCGGTCTATAGTCTGGACTACAGTTTAGTCTATAGCATGGTTTATGGTCTGGACTACAGTCTGATCTATAGTCTGGACTATGGCCGGCACTACAGTTTATAATGTGAACTAATACTGGTCTATAGTCTGGTACATGTGCTGGACGTCGGCCTATAGTCTGATCAATATTCTGCATTACAGATTAGTCTATAATCTGGTACATTTTCTGGACGTCAGCTTATAGTCTGGTCTATAATGCGCATAACAGTCTGGTCTATAGTCTAATACATTGTCTATAGTCTGTATTATAGTCTGCGTTACAACCTGGTTTATAGTCTGGACTATAGTATGGTCTATAATCTGGACTATAGTCTGTTCTATAGTCTGGAGTATAGTCTGGTCTATAGTCTGGACTATAGTCTGGTCCATAGGCTGGACTATAGTCTAGACTATAGTCTGGTCTATAGTGTGGACTATAGTCTGGTCTATAGTCTGGTCTATAGTCTGGTCTATAGTCTGGACTATAGTCTGGTCTATAGTCTGGACTATAGTCTGGTCTATAGTCTGGACTATAGTCTGGTCTATAGTCTGGACTATAGTCTGGTCTATAGTCTGGACTATAGTCTGGTCTATAGTCTGGACTATAGTCTGGTCCATAGTATAGACTATAGTCTAGACTATAGTCTGGTCTATAGTCTGGACTATTGTCTGGACTATAGTCTGGTCTATAGTCTGGACTATAGTCTGGTCTATAGTCTGTTCTATAGTCTGGTCTATAGTCTGGTCTATAGTCTGGACTATAGTCTGGTCTATAGTCTGGACTATAGTCTGGTCTATAGTCTGGACTATAGTCAGGTCTATAGTCTGGACTATAGTCTGGTCTATAGTCTGGACTATAGTCTGGTCTATAATCTGATCTATAGTCTGGGCTATAGTCTGGTCTATAGTCTGGACTATAGTCTGGTCTATAGTCTGGACTATAGTCTGGTCTATAGTCTGGACTATAGTCTGGTCTATAGTCTGGACTATAGTCTGGTCTATAGTCTGGACTATAGTCTGATCTATAGTCTGGACTATAGTCTGGTCTATAGTCTGGACTATACTCTGGTCTATACTCTGGACTATAGTCTGGTCTATAGTCTGGACTATAGTCTGGTCTATAGTCTGGACTATAGTCTGGTGTATAGTCTGGACTATAGTCTGGTTTATAGTCTGGACTATAGTCTGGTTTATAGTCTGGACTATAGTCTGGTCTATAGTTTGTTCCATAGTCTGGTGTATAGTCTGGACTATAGTCTGGTTTATAGTTTGGTCTATAGTTTGTTCCATAGTCTGGACTATACTCTCGTCTATAGTCTGGACTATAGTCTGATCTATAGTCTGATCTATAGTCTGGACTATAGTCTGTTCTATAGTCTGGACAATAGTCTGTTCTATAGTTTGGACTATTGTCTGGTCTATAGTTTGGTCTATAGTATGGCCTTGCTTATAGTATTGTCTACAGTTATTATTAGAGTCTGGTCTATAGTCTATTTTACTGTAGTCTATACTCTGGAACATTATCTGGACTACATTCCGGTCTATAGTCTGGACTACAGTTTAGTCTATAGCATGGTTTATGGTCTGGACTACAGTCTGATCTATAGTCTGGACTATGGCCGGCACTACAGTTTATAATGTGAACTAATACTGGTCTATAGTCTGGTACATGTGCTGGACGTCGGCCTATAGTCTGATCAATATTCTGCATTACAGATTAGTCTATAATCTGGTACATTTTCTGGACGTCAGCTTATAGTCTGGTCTATAATGCGCATAACAGTCTGGTCTATAGTCTAATACATTGTCTATAGTCTGTATTATAGTCTGCGTTACAACCTGGTTTATAGTCTGGACTATAGTATGGTCTATAATCTGGACTATAGTCTGTTCTATAGTCTGGAGTATAGTCTGGTCTATAGTCTGGACTATAGTCTGGTCCATAGGCTGGACTATAGTCTAGACTATAGTCTGGTCTATAGTGTGGACTATAGTCTGGTCTATAGTCTGGTCTATAGTCTGGTCTATAGTCTGGACTATAGTCTGGTCTATAGTCTGGACTATAGTCTGGTCTATAGTCTGGACTATAGTCTGGTCTATAGTCTGGACTATAGTCTGGTCTATAGTCTGGACTATAGTCTGGTCCATAGTATAGACTATAGTCTAGACTATAGTCTGGTCTATAGTCTGGACTATTGTCTGGACTATAGTCTGGTCTATAGTCTGGACTATAGTCTGGTCTATAGTCTGTTCTATAGTCTGGTCTATAGTCTGGTCTATAGTCTGGACTATAGTCTGGTCTATAGTCTGGACTATAGTCTGGTCTATAGTCTGGACTATAGTCAGGTCTATAGTCTGGACTATAGTCTGGTCTATAGTCTGGACTATAGTCTGGTCTATAATCTGATCTATAGTCTGGGCTATAGTCTGGTCTATAGTCTGGACTATAGTCTGGTCTATAGTCTGGACTATAGTCTGGACTATAGTCTGGTCTATAGTCTGGACTATAGTCTGGTCTATAGTCTGGACTATAGTCTGGTCTATAGTCTGGACTATAGTCTGATCTATAGTCTGGACTATAGTCTGGTCTATAGTCTGGACTATACTCTGGTCTATACTCTGGACTATAGTCTGGTCTATAGTCTGGACTATAGTCTGGTCTATAGTCTGGACTATAGTCTGGTGTATAGTCTGGACTATAGTCTGGTTTATAGTCTGGACTATAGTCTGGTTTATAGTCTGGACTATAGTCTGGTCTATAGTTTGTTCCATAGTCTGGTGTATAGTCTGGACTATAGTCTGGTTTATAGTTTGGTCTATAGTTTGTTCCATAGTCTGGACTATACTCTCGTCTATAGTCTGGACTATAGTCTGATCTATAGTCTGATCTATAGTCTGGACTATAGTCTGTTCT